GTGTCCTGAATGTCGCTGTCCTGGAGGTTCTCTTGCTGTGCCGTGGTGCTCTGTGCTGAGTGAAGACAGTGCTGTGTGTCACTGTCTCTCTCCCACCTGAGCTTTGGGAGGTGTTACCTGTGCACAGGTGTGTAGGGGGAGGGCTGGAGCCTCACCGCAGTAAACAGGGCAAGACAGCAGACAAAGACACAGCTCTCCCTCACCCCCTTCCTTTCTGATCTCTCTTTCTCTCCCTCGTCCCTCTCTTCTCCTGACCTCTGTCTCATCTCTCTTATCTCCTGTCCTCTGTCTCTCATTTCTTCTCCTGTCCTCTGTCTCATCTCTATTATCTCCTGTCCTCTGTCTCTCATTTCTTCTCCTGTCCTCTCTCTCTCTCTCCTCCCTCTCTTCTCCTGTCCTGGATTCTGACCAGGTGTCAGCTTGGGGATTCCTGGGCCTGGTTCTGGTGATCCCAGTGTCCACTGGAAATACCCGGGCAGGGTTCTGGTGATCCCAGTGTCCACTGGAAGTTCCCGGGCCGGGTTCTGGTGATCCCAGTGTCCACTGGAAGTTCCTGGGCTTGGTTCTGGTGATCCCAGTGTCCACTGGAAGTTCCCGGGCCGGGTTCTGGTGATCCCAGTGTCCACTGGAAGTTCCCGGGCCTGGTTCTGGTGATCCCAGTGTCCACTGGAAGTTCCCGGGCCGGGTTCTGGTGATCCCAGTGTCCGGGGCCTTTCAGTGCAGCTGGATTCTTGCACAAGGACTGAATAGGGTCTGTGGGAAAGTCTCTGTGTGTAAAGAACTTCCTGAGGCCTCTTTCTCTGGCCCTGGGCAGAACCCCCAGCTACACAATGGCCACTGTGCCCCTCTGTTTCTCAATAATCCCTGTGCCCTCTCCTATTGTCCAGCCAACACCCAGAGCAAACAGCAGCCTTTCTAAAGATGCTCATTGTACCAGCTTTGCACTTTCCCAGGCTTTCTTTCCACACAGTGTTGTACAGTAGCTTTGTGCTAATGTTGTTTCAGACTGTGTTGTACAGCAGCTTTGTGCTGATGTTGTTTCAGACTGTGTTGTACAGTAGCTTTGTGTTGATGTTGTTCCAGACTGTGTTATACAGTAGTTTTGTGTTAACGTTGTTACAGACTGTTTTGTACAATAAGTTTGTGTTCACACTGCACTAGGTTGTTTTGCACAGAGCTATGTGTTGTTGTTTCAAGCTGTGTTGTACAGTAGCTGTGTGTTGTTGTTGCTCCAAGCTGTGTTGTACACTAGCTGTGTGTTGCTATTGCTCCAGGCTGTATTGGACAGTAGCTGTGTGTTTGTGCTGTTCCAGGCTGTACAGTACAGTAGCTGTGTGTTTGTGCTGTTCCAGGCTGTACAGTACACCAGCTGTGTGTTGCTGCTGTGCAGTAGTTGCTGTAGGTACGAGTCTGTGTGCCTGTTCACAGGGGATTCCTGGCTTGTTTGTACTGCACTGTGCTCTTGTGTGGTGATTTCCCTGCAGACTTGTTGACATTTCTCAAACTGGTACAAGGTGAACTGAGTGGTAACAAACAGTCCTGGAGTTCACTTGGGGCACACAAGCGAACAGCACAGGGCAGAGACAGACAGGACACATGGATCAGAGCGGAAGACAGTACACACTGACCACAGTGACAGGACAGAGAGACAGGACACACTGATCACAGAGACAGTTCAGAGTTCAGAGAGACAGGACACACTAATCACAGAGACAGTTCAGAGTTCAGAGAGACAGGACACACTGATCACAGAGACAGGACAGAGAGACAGGACACACTGATCACAGAGACAGGACAGAGTTCAGAGAGACAGGACACACGAATCACAGAGACAGGACAGAGTTCAGAGAGACAGGACACACTGACCACAGTGACAGGACAGAGAGACAGCACACACTGACCACAGTGACAGGACACACTGACCACAGAGACAGTTCAGAGTTGAGAGAGACAGGACACACTGATCACAGAGACAGGACAGAGAGACAGGACACACTGATCACGAGACAGGACAGAGAGACAGGACACACTGATCACGAGACAGGACAGAGAGACAGGACACACTGATCACAGAGGCAGTTCAGAGTTGAGAGAGACAGGACACACTGATCACAGAGACAGGACAGAGAGACAGGACACACTGATCACAGGGACAGGACAGAGAGACAGCACACACTGATCACAGAGGCAGTTCAGAGTTCAGAGAGACAAGACACACTGATCACAGGGACAGGACAGAGAGACAGGACACACTGATCAGAGAGACAGGAGGTTCAGAGAGACAAAACAGGACACAGAAACCAGAGACAAGCTATATGTTTAGGATATGGTAGAATGCCACTTGCATTAACCCACATTCTCATGTATTCAACAGCCTCGAAGTGGGGACCTCCGTTCGCCTGCCATTCCCACATCCCCCAGCCTCACAGATTCCCGCACTTTCTACGGATCAACTGGAGCCGGCTCTGGAGCGCCGGCGGGATCACAGGGTGTCAGAACCCCCTCAAAGGGGTCTTCCTAGTTGCCGGGGGGGTGCGGCAGGTCCCCCGTTCTAGATCAGCGATTCTGGGGGGGGCGTGTGAGGGTGTTGGGGTACAGGAGGTCACAGCGCAGTTCAGTGTGGCTTGGAAAGAGGTTTTAATCTAAGCAGGGAGACACCAGCGATCTTCCCTCAGCCCCAGCACCCTGGCACTCCCAGACACCAGCTTTCCCAAAGGTCAGAAGAACTCCAACACTGACGGTCAACCAGTCAAGTCCAGCAGCTGGTCAGCAAAGGTCATCTTCACAAGGAAGCCCAGAACTACAGCATCAATCCAAAGACGAGACCTGGCCAGCCAGGCAAAACTGGAACTGCGTTTCGAAGCGATCTAACGTGACAGTCAATGAAGTACCCTGGCTGCCTCATTAGGTACAGCCATGTGGTGCAACTGGCAATGGCTTATTCCTTTAGAATCCTTTTATTGATCGGTGAAAGGGCTTACAGATAGAACTTATTCAAATAAAGGCAGTAATTTCCTGGTTCCACTATGCCGGCATAGATGGGGGGGTTACTTATGGAAATACAATTAATTGGTAAAAACACAACATGAACAAACCGCTAATAATCCACACAATAAGACTGCTTTATCTTCTTTCACAGCATGAAACCAGGTCTCAATGGGGAGCCATAAATTTCACCCTGACTGGCCAATATTTGCTCAACCTCTCCGCCTGCAGCCTAAGAGAACCTGTGGCTAGTGGCTTATTTTGAAGACACTAGATCTGCTAACTAACACATCTGACCCGTTGGCTTGTAGAGACACATGATGTGCGAGAGAGGGGCACAGACCCCAGCCTGTAGGGTCGGGATCCACCAGCTCGTCCAGTCCAGGACTCCTCGAAGCTGGACAAAGAGCTGGACACGCTTGAAAAACACTCCAGCTTTTCCTGGCGAGCCGACGACCAGCTCAGCTCGGTCATTAAGAGCAGAGCTGGGACTACACCCCACCCCCAGACAGTATCCGCGGCGCCCAGGAGCGCAGATCTGCACCGCCGAGGTAGGAGAGAGATGAAGAGGCACAAACACAGGAGGAAGAGGGGGAGGAGGAGGAGGAGATGGCCTGGCAACTGCTTGCCGTTTCCAAGCACAAGGTACTGAAATAACCCCGCCTGCCACTTACCTAGAAACAAAATCAAGCACGGCCCTCCAGGACTCCATTAGCGTGATCCCAGGAGACCGCAACACAGCAAGTGCTGGCGTGCCAGTCCAAGCCCTCGGTCCGCTCATTAATGCCAATTAACTAATGACAGCAATTAGGGGAAGCAACTCAGAAAGGAGTTATACTGTTAAATTACTCCCACAAGCCTCCACACTGCTTCAGGTCAGAGGAGCAGTTCTCTGGTCACTGGCGAGAGCCCTGCCTCCCCTGCATTTTCTTTTAACCACGTAAGGCCTTGGACAGAACTTCACTTCATGTCTGAACCTGCTGCTCATCGTCTCTTGGCTGGGAACACCAGGAGAAAAGGTCTTTCTTGACCGCAGTGACCCAAAAACCGTGGGTCTAAATTCTGGCCCCTAAAACCTGGGTCGCGTCCCCAGTGTGACGTCTCAGGTGTGAAATAAGATGTGAAATTCTGGTCACTTTGATTAAAGAGCTCCACCTACTGGTCCACTCACAGCAGCTCCCTGGTTTTCCTTGGAACACCAGGTCAGGGTACAGGGTGGGGACCCCGCTGTAGAAATCTAGGCTAAGATCAATTAATTTAATACAGGGCTCTGATCAAAAAGCAGAACAAGCTTCCTGCAGTAGCTGGACCCAGGATTGAGAGGTATTTCTATTCATCCATTTTTAGACGGGAGTGTACTCCAAAAATTGAGTGTTTAAATAGCGGGACTTGTCCTACTTTTACAATATCACACATGAACTTAAATGGATGGAGAAGGAGCTCATAAAACACTTTAAAGAAATGAAAAGAAACAACATTTTATCTACAACCACGCAAACCCTCTGGGGGAATTACCACCTCACAAAATGACCACAACAAGCAGAAGTCTATAAACAACACAGAACATAGTTTTTGGAAACCTTTATTTCTTTTGTCATTAACACCACCCATCCACTACTGGAGAGGAGGATCTCGGCAAACCAGAGCCTGTAGCAGTATTGAAGGCCTGGAAAGGAGACCAGTCCTTATCAAAGCACATCGGCCATGTTATTAAAATTTAACTATAAAACCTGAATAAATCAGACCCAATAAATCTATCCCAAAGCTAACGACTGTTTTGTCCCAGGAAAGTCAGGAACTAGCACTGAATACACTTTGGGAAGAACGACAACACCCAATAAAAACGCGTTTAGGAGTGTTTACAGGCATAAGAAGTAAGGCACACTGTCTCAACCCGCTTGGCCAAGACTTGACAGAGGATGAGGAAATCAGGAGGCCCTTGGAGAGAGGGGAGTTAACAGGGGGGAAGTGGCACAGGTGGAGGAGGGCTGCAGAAAGGCAGGGACTGTGGTAGTTGTAGTTGTAGTTTTGCAGGAAGTCACATGACAGAGGAGTCACGCTTTCAGGAAGTGACATCACGGAGGGCGACTAGAGAAGCATAGGTGAAGAAGAACTTGGCTGTTTTCATCACTCTCGAGAGTTCCTTAAAGTCACCACCGATCACCGGCCACATGGCCAATCCAAGGACTGCAACTGAGAAACAACCACTAACAAGCTGTGTGTGACTGTCTAAACGCTATTTAATAGAAAACAAATTCCCGATTCCTGCTCCTGCTACTCCGAGCAACTCTCCAGCCTCAGCTGGATTCTTTCAGGCAGGCCAGAGTCTGTGAAATGATCTGCAAAGAGAAATAAGGCTTTATTTGACTTCTAAAGCTGAGTTTCCTATTTTTTAATTCCAATAATTGTCATTTTTTTCAAAAACAGATGTATGTTGTACTGCGAATACAACTAAATTAGTTCAAGTAGGGAGCTGCGTCAATGTGTGTCGGCTGCCAAGGAACAAGTTAAGGTTTATTCCATGCCACACCTGAAGAAGGCTCCACAGCCAAAAAGTTGTGTTTCTTTTCTTCTCTCTTCAGCCTGGAATAAACCTTTACTTGTTTCTTTACAACTAGATTAGTTAACATGTAGATATATATATGAACTATGTGGAAAACTGATCACCAATTAGCTGCACTTTTTTATTTTTTCAATATCTGATGCTAAACCTGAATCATAAAGTTGCTGTCTCACCACAAACTTTTGCACATGGTTAATCAGGTCGAATTGATGAAAACAGCCCTGTTAATTTGTACACTGTAGGTCAGATTTCCGTGAAACCCATTTACAGAGAGAGTTGTAATATTCCTATTGTATATTGTATTGTATTGTGTATTGTATGAATATTGTAATATTCCATGTGTTAATTTACCTGCTGCAAACTCTCGGATGTCCTCAGGTCTCTTTAAGAACACTTCTCTGAGAGAAAAGGGGGGAAACAGAATTATATATATACTGTATATAGTACTCGCGCCATTAAAGTTGTTAAAATTGTGCAAATCTGTGTCGTTTCTAACCTTAAGAAATCGCTCAACAAGAGATCCACCTCTGGATGTGATCGTAAATACTTCTCGTTTTCGATTCTCGTTTTGATCTAGAGAGAAGAAAAACTTCCAAATTTCAGAATTTTCTATCTACTGTTGTTTGTCTAACACGTACTCTCCTTTAGCCCTTCTAGTTACAGAAGTAACCTGCCCCTGTGCTCATGGTTTGTCATCCTCCCAGTCAATCAAAGCAGTGTTTTTTTATTGGATAAAAACCTGTTTTATAGCTCGGCTGCAACCGAGTTATATTCATAACATCTAACTTTACATGCTTCGTGTAAACATTTACTTCAGCAAGTTTATTTTGCTTTTAGCTTTACCTTAAACTGCCGAAGCTTCTCCTGCTGTTCCGGGCTCAGGGCGCCGATATCGAGTCGCTCCATTCCGCTCTGTTCCGCCATGTTTCTTCTCGAGCACGCACCGACGACAACAGGTCCCGTTGCTACGGGCGACACTTCCTTCCGTAAACCGCGGCAGCGCGTTACCACCGGTCACCCAGAACACGTGACCTCCGCTCCCGGTTCCTTGGAAAACACCACCAAATCAAGCGTGGTGGATGCTTATAAAGCTGTTTATATGACCAAACGCTTACTAGCTGCACCGTGGTTTTGCACTGCAATACACCAGTATCAAAGTCTTTTAATGAAGGGCCCTGTGTGAAGTGATTAATCAAATTATTTCTCACAGAGACATGTATAGATTTTTTAAGGTCTAACAACTTATAGCTGCGGTTTCCAATCCTTAAATCCTGCCCGTACTGTTGGTTTCCATTCCACTTGATGACAGTTATGCAGCTCATTTAATAATTAGATTGATTATGTAACCGAGAGCTCAAAATCTTGCTAAACCAGTCCAGAGTACCTCTCGCCCACCAAGCAGTGAGATCATAGTTGAGATGCGAAATACACAATGCAGACTACACACTTGTTTTTGTCAGTGTCATTTTTGGGAGTGTGTGTTGGTGTGCTGTAGGCCTAGGATTTGTAAATGATGGGGTGCCCTTAAATCAGCAATAAAAAACAATCACAGAACTCTGACAGTCAAATGTTTAATAAGACAATGCATGGAATTCATCCGAGGACCGATTACAATGCAATCACAAAGCAGAGAAAAGCAATAAAAAGCATCTTCAACTATAATTTAAAACCATTTGTTTTCCTGACAGATCAGTTAACCCACAGAGCCTGGAATGACCACTTCAGGGGGTGAGAGAGAGAGAAACAGGAGCCATATCATTTCCACAAAGAGTGGTGGGAGAATGGAACAAGTTGCATTGGACAGGCCGAATGGCTCCTCTCCCTTGTAACCTTCCACATGTTTACAAGCGTGTGTGTGCGTGCGTGTGCGTGTGTGGGGAACAGAGCAGTGAGTACAAGTGGTTTCGTCTGCTGGGCGTGATGGTTGAACGCCCTCGGGGCAGGAATTTAAGTTTCATTCATTCAAGCGCGACAAGGACGGGGCTGGACTCGAGCGCCCTTCGGGGCCACTCCAGGGACAGGCTTCCTTGATCCTTCACACTCCTGCCCTGTGCCTCAATTAGACCCATTGGACTCCGTTTCAAGTGGGGCCAATTAAGTCATTTGTCCCCTGCTGGAATCCATTACATCCTCACAGGCACTGCAATGGAGCATGCAAAGGAAATCCATTTAAGGAATCAGGACCCCAGGGAGAGGTCTACAGTGTCCTACTAGAATGGTAATCAAGGATCAATCAAGCGATTATCAGGTAATCGATTAGAGGCCGGGCTGAGCCAGCAGCGTGGCTTCAGGAGCGCTGTCCCTGTGTGCCCACATGGCGGCAGACACTGCACTGGACATGCCAACTCGTTGTGCGCACACTGGCACAGCCTGAGGAGTCTTCATGCACTTCCACAGTGACATGACACTTCAGAGCTGGACGTCTCTTCTGCTACACAGCTACTGCCCTTCATCCCAGAAGGCAGCACACGTTCAACACTATTAACCATCGCTTTCTGCACATCAGTGTACAAAGATCAGATCACTTTATTAGCCCTACACAATTTCTTGTATCAGGAATTAGTCTTTTCGCAGACCCCAGCTTGCTCTCCATGAGACACACAGACAGGGAGAGAAGCTGGGGGTCAGAGCGCAGGGTCAGCCATTGTACAGCGCCCCTGGAGCAGCTGGGGTGAAGGGCCTTGCTCAGGGGCCCAACAGAGCAGGATTCCTCTGCCGGCCGCGGGATACGAACCGGCAACCTTCCAGCCACAGGCGCAGATCCTGAGCCACAGAGCCACCGCTCCGCCCTCTGAAGACATTTATACACCCACCCACACAGAGCTGACTCCCCCAAACAGACACGGAGGTGCACTCACCCATGAGGGCTCTCCTGCAACTATCATCACAAAACTGCGCCCCAGTAAAACAACTTTCCGGAGCGCCTCCTCCAGCTGGGCTCTACAGCAGGAAGCAGGAATGGGCCAATGACACTGGTGCCAGGCCCAGGGCGAGAGCAAACTGCTGGAGATCCGATTCCAACTCTGTGGGTCTGGTTAAAGTATCGAGTCTTTGCACATGTGCACACTAAACAGCTTATTATAATAATAATAATAATAATAATAATAATAATAATAATAATAATAATAATAATAATAACAGAAGAAACGTCCAGGATTGTGAAGAAAAGGCCTGACTTCAGCAGTCAGTTTATATGAACAGGAATTAGGCCACCATCCCCACTTGTGTGGCACAGGCAGGAAGGCTTTAACAGGGGGAATCCAATCAAAGCTCTAATCAATCAATCAGTTCCTGTGGGACTACATGCTGCATTAACTCACTTCACGTCAGTTATAGTGAAGTTGTAGTGTTCCGGTGATATTTTAGAACAAGAAGGCGATGTTCCCCAGATACAAGGCAGCATCTCAAGTGTGTGACTAGTTCAAAATCTCTCGCTCCTTCGTTTTTCTGCAACAATGTCTCCTGGTGCTCTCTCTCTCACCCACGCCAGCCCCAGGCATCAGAAACAGAACTGGCAGGGCAGCCCGGTCCAGTTCTGGTCCTGGAGTGCTGGCGATTCAGCTCTTCACAACCTCGGCCAGCTCAGCCAGCTCGCTGCTGGACGAACAGGGCCCGAGTGACGGCCCATCCCAGCACTGCAGACACAGCGCCCCCCCCAGGATCAGAGCTGCACACCCTGGGACATCATTTTTTTTTAAAAAGAGGGGGAGGGGGGCGTGCACACTGTCACCCCAGCGTTACAGAAAACAGCATGAGAAACCAGAGGCACAGGGCTCACCTTGCAGGCAATCAGACACCTCCCTCTGCTGGTGCTAGGTGAAAAATGTCACATGGCCACAAAAAGGCATTTACTCAATTAGTGTCTCCGTCTGCTTCATTCTCGCGTGACCTTGTATCTTCTGGAGCATTTCTATAACTGTGTGTTTTTTTATTTGTGCTTATTTTGTCATTTCTGATTATAACCGTTCTCTTTTGTTTTAACTGTTATTTTACCCCTACCATAAATAGCTTTTAAATGGAACTTTTAAAAGTGCTATATAAAATAGTTTATTATTTCTAATAATTTTTATTTAACATCACTTCACGTGATGCTTTGTATAAAGTCTATGCATTATAGTGTGCAAATATGCACTATATATATTAGGAAATTAAATGTATATCTATATATATAATCTTCATTCATGCAAATATAATGGGGGATATAAATATTCACCAGAAACTGGACTGTCCAGCTCTCCAGTCTCACCTTACTTGGCCTTGATCATACTATCAAAACTCGTCTGTCTCATCATTAACTAGTAATAGCACCTCCTCTCTGAAGCGCAAAGTCTGGTTCATTTACCAATCAGCTGCGTGGACGCCAGTTCCCCTCTGCCCCTGTACACCAGCAGAAGGATCAAAGACTTAACTGGAAGCCAGTGCGGGGCCTCCAGCACAGGAGTGATCCAAGTGCCTGCATGTGACCCGGCCTCCTTGTCAAGGGGACAGAAAACAGGGAAATAATTAAAAGGCAAGCGGGGAGCCCAGCCCCCTTACCGCTGTTAGGAGACGAGGTACAAGGACAAGGCCATTCGCTCCCTCCCCTCCTCTCCATTGCTTGGGTGCATGAACATCGACAAAAAAAAGAGACTCAGCCTTGCACCTCTCCTCCTCACAGCGTCTCCCGTGCGCGGGTTTGAGACGCCTTTAAGCAGAAGTCACATCGTTGTCACCGGCCCTCTTGCAGGTGGTCTTGTGAAGGATGCAAAAGTAGTGAGGCCCCAGGGGAGAGTACCTGCAGGAGAGAGAGAGTGAGAAGCTCAATGAAAAACAGCCATGTCGAGAACTCTGGAAATGGTCATTTTACGCCCTTCGATTGATCTTTCCAGTGCTGAACTGTGGTATTTTAAAGCTTCTGCAATGACAGGCTGTGTGTTATATTCGGTTTCCTCCGAATGACCGCCCGTGCTAAAATCGAATGTACCGTGAACAACGCAAGGAGCTTCCACACCGTGCACAAGGTTTAAGAGACACCTCAGGACATTCTGGACAAAAGGTCTGCTATTTGAAAAGTTTCATCCAAAACATCCTGAAACAAGCAAGCTTGTCGCCACTCCAATCTTGTGCAGAACACAGAGGCTCTCCCCGTTACACGCGTGCGAGTCTGGAAGGAGGAAGGAGCAGAGGATTCCCAGAAACACTCACCTTCTCCTCACGCACAAGAAAATTAGACCAAGGACGATGAGGCAAAAGAAAATGCCAAGGGTGATGAACACCACTGTGGGGGTGTCCAGACCGCCCCCTGCCTCTCCAGCCCCTGAAAAGCAGGAAAACAGTCACCACAAACTTCCCCTGACCACTGATCCAGCTGATCCTTAATTCAGGACGCAACCTTCACCATTAGGGCCAATTAAGCAATTAAAGATCGGTTCGGTCATTCAAACGCCAACACAGTCCTGAACGCCTGGCCAAGCCCAAACAAAGGGGCGACCCAGGGGGTCACCAGTAGGAGACACGCTGAGGACAGACCACAAGGGGTGCGTCTTTCCACACAGTGCGACTCGAGCCTCTAGATCTAACCAGCCACACTGTGCCGGTGCCAGCTCTCAAGATCCCACCCAGGACCTGGTCCTGGGGTCGGACAGCCCACTGGCGATTCAGAAAGAGAGCAGAGATCTGAACAGAACAGACATGTCTGCAACATCCTCTTTCGGGGAGGAAAGCTGGGCTTCTGGACCACAGAAGAAAGGTCTAATGAAAGGGAGAATTCTGCGTGCTGCAATCCAGAGGAGAAAGCTGGGGCAAACACTATCAGCTCTGGAACGGAGGGTAATATTATTATTAATAAGAATACTTCCTTAGATTTATATAGCTCTTTTTTGGACACTGCACTCAAGAGTGCTGTACAGGTAACGGGGATCCCTTCCACCACCACCAGTGTGCAGCCCCCACCTGGATGATGCACTGGCAGCCAGAGTGCGGCAGAACACCACACATCAGCTATCAGTGGGGAGATGGCCAGGACACTGCGATAACACCCTGTACTCTTCTGGAGAAACGCCCTGGGATTTTTTACGACCACAGACAGTCAGGACCTCAGTTTTACGTCTCATCCAAAGGACGTCACCTTTTTTACAGTATAGTCTCCCCGTCACTATACTGGGGCATTAGGACCCACACAGACCGCAGGGTGAGCGCCCCCTACTGGTCCCACTAACACCAGGACAGCAACCTTAGCTTTCCCAGGAGCCAGGTGGTCTCCCACCCAGGTACTGACCAGGCTCACACCTGCTGAGCTTCAGTGGGCTGCCAGCTGGGAGCTGCAGGGTGATATGACTGCTGGGAACCCTGATGACAACCAGACAATGAATAATATTATTATTCCTTACACTTCTATAACTTTTTTCTTATAGGTACTAGGGACTCCCCCTGCACCAGCGTGCAGCCCCACCCGGATGATGTGCCAGTACGCTCCCCACACACCAGCTCTCTGGGGAGGAGAGCAGCGTAATAATATAACAGAATAATGAACTTGATCTCTCACCTGGACTGGTCATCTTGTTGTTCCCTATTGCATTTGTGCCTGTAAAATCACAGAGGAGAGAGAGGGGGAGAGAGAGAGACAGGAAAAACAGGAAAGGGTAGGAGAGCAGAGAGAAGAGATGAGAAAAAAAAAAACATTCCTCCTTTACATTCAGCTCAATTCCTAGAAATCCCACATCTGCCCGAAACAAAACCAAAAGTCCCGCTGGGGCTGGAAACTCAACAAGAGCTGCAGCCCGGTTCTGATTCTGTCCCAGCCTGAGAATGGATCAGACTGTTTGGCACTGGGAGTGAGAGTGAAAATTGTAAAACCAGAAGTAGATAAGACTGCACTATTTATGCCTGGGAGTCTTACCCGACAACACAGAGCTTGCTGATGCACTCTGGGAGCCTGATGACCCTATAAGGAGTGAACAGTACTACAGCAGCCCAGCCCAGTCCTCAGAT